CCGGCGCGAGAAACATCCATTGCCGTTCGCAAAAGCTGAAAATTGCGCTCTTTTTCCAGTGTTGGAAAAACACCCAAACTTTATCTTGATCGAGATTATCAGAATCCGGAAGATATGACCTGACTGTCCAGCTATCACCTTCGGCCTGGTACGCAACGGGAAGCGCTTCATCTGTAAACCCTTCGCTGAATAGACTCTTGATGTCATTAACCTGGTTAATGAATAGAAGTATCGCAAATATTCTTCTCCCTTTTTCAACAATGAATCTAGCGAAACAGAGCTGCTCTCCTGCTGATAGCCCCACGGCTGCCAGGGTCGAAGTGACAGTCTCGAGCGTGATCAGCTCTTCTAAAACCCCGTTGGGTACGAAAGACTTATTCTCTAACGGACTATACACTAATAGTCGTAGGATATCGTCACTCGTGAAGCCTTTCCTTTGCGAGTCCTTTGCGGCGAGCGCCCGACCATCATCAGCTTCATTGCTAATTGCCGCATTAAGGAGAGCTTCCATTGCCATCGATTGACCCGAACTCGTTGAATTGAGGGTAGTGAGGTCACTGTATCCTTAGTGCATCCGTTGGTAAATTATTACTTGGCGTGATGTTTTGGAATGGCGTGCAAGTATAGGACGACACAGACAAATCAAGTCGATTTCGTCGAGAGGCCGCCTGCCTAAATGAGGCTGAATTGTACTATGGTAGAGACTGGTGCCATGGCGCGGGGAGGTCCGACTTTGATGCTCTGCGCAACTGCGCAGAACACATGTGATCGTGATAGGCCCAAATTCCAGCGCATTAGCCATATTGGTGAAGGCTTGCAGGTATGGAGGGTAACATTCGAGAACATTCACCACGATTGGGGCACCGCTCCAATTGCTTAGGACCTAAGCCTAAATCGGCGCAAATGGTACAACAGACTTGGCGAACTGCAGGCTGTGCTAAGTAGTGCAAAAGTGGCTGTGTAGCAATTGACCTTGCAAGCCAGCAGTTCCTTTCCGGGGTTAGTATTTCTAACATACATTCGGAAGAGGGGAAAGCTGAGTGATGAAACAATTATACCACTACAGCTATCAGAGGGGAATTCCATGGTATCCTCCATTAGTACTACGTTATCTATGCTGACACGAGTGGAAGGAGCTAGCTAGCAGATGTGATATTCGTATCCAATACCCAGGTAGCCTTAATCTAACGTTATACATCTATATTCCCCATGTAGCATGTAACTAGTTATACTTAGTAGTGAGAATAATAATTCAGACGAAGATCCATATTGAGAGACAATTGCGCCTCTGTGTTAACCAAGGATTAAGGCATTCTTGGAACCTGGATATTGCAAAGAAAGAAAAATAAATTAATTAAGTCAAATACTTGAAGTTTGACACCAAGTTACTATTGTTGACTTTTCTCCTGTCGTGAGTTATTGTCACTATCAACTGATCCCCCTCCAACTCCCCTCTATTGATCGAAACACATGGAGCATCCCGCTGCCCCTCCCAATGCTGTCAAGATTGAGGCGGAGAGAGACTGATCTGATCATAACTTCCGGGAAACCGCTGTATTTCGGGGGCTCATGATTAAAAGCAATTTATCCTCCGATATAGCGACTGAGAATACCTGTATGACTCCTGAAATGGCCGCCATGCATCTAACATTAGAGGCCGTTGCTCCACAAGATATATGTTCCTTTTACTACTCACAGTCTCGCTTTTAGGGTTAGGATTGGGGTTGCGACTGTTCGGAAGCTGTGGTTAAAAAGTCGGTTTAGTCAGTGACCTTGGCAGATAGGAAGCCAGCGAGTGTACTAGGCATGGGGCTTTGAGGAATCCGAGGTCGAGTACCTCTCACACCAATTCGTGACCTTCCAGTCTTGCTATGGCTGAGAAGGGAAGCAGGTACACGTCCGTAGTACACGTCATTGACCGGACGATCTCTCTGAAACGCGCAGCCTGGGCAACATTCATCCATATGGCATCTGTCAAGTTTCACATATGGCGAAGCTTCCTGTATGTTACTTAATTGAAATAGTTTCCATATGTTTAAATGAATAGATCACATAGATAGCAGTAGACGCGCTACATCTAATGGCCCTAGATTCTGGCTCACAAGAGCGGCGTGCATAATGGAAAACTTGTTGAACTTTCTGCGTGAACACGGCGTGAACATCTAGCTCTAGGTGACCGATGTGGAGGGGAAAGGTGTTCAGCGTTGCTACCCTCTGTCCAAGAAAGATAATATCAAACCTCGGGCCACTCTCATTTCTTGTAAGCGTCTCGGAAGAGCTGTAGATGCTAGAAAGCGCCATCGTGAATGTGAACAACTACAATAGTGCGTTGTAGTCTCTATGGATTAAACCCGGACCAACCAAGACGGAGATATAAACAAACCAATCAGAGCCCAAAGATGTGGTACCTTTCCCCTGAAACGGAGCGCAAAGAGAGGAACCAGAATAAGTGGGCATCTAATCTGACACATCCGATTCCCTTCATTAGACTAGGTAGGATTAGGACTGGATATTTGTCGCGCTGCACCTGGGATTTAGTCTATCTACACTAGTCTCGCATTGAATTCACTCGGCCTGGGTTAGACTCTCTGCACTTGCAGCTACTCTCTTTATTAACGAACCTCCTCTCTTGTCGCTTCAGAACACATCGTGGGATTCTTCCGTCGGGCGATACGACACGCTACTTTTGAGATTGCCATCCCTCGACGTTGCTGTCGCAATCGTTGGCCCAAGATGACGCTAGACGAAAAGTAGGTCCTCACCAGATGTATCGAACGACAATTAAGAGTGTATGTAACTGATACACTTCGTGTCGAATAGATACATTGGTCTGACCTTGGCCATGGCCTCGAGTTTAGGGATAGGTATGCGCCTCTCCTTTAACATGCTTTAAAGCCTGTAATGATGCTAACAGCGCGAATCCCAGGCAGCAGCTCTATTATCACGAAGAAGGTATGCCTCCGATCCGCCGCGACGCCATCTGATCAGCGACCTACCGCGCAGCCAATTTCGAGGACGAAGCCCGCTGACACGTCGCTATGATGGCAGAGCTTGATACACGTCGAGAAGCGATATGGATTCGAAGGAGAAGGCTTTATATATCTTAAGAGTCCGTTATGGTGGCTGGGCACTACAACCTGTAGGGAACCACTCGACGGAAGGTGTTGGAGAGGCGCAGAATGGTGCTGACGACATTATGCAGTGGTTTTAGGAGAGTTTTGCAACTTTGCAGCATACGCCTTCGCGCCAGCCATCTTGGTGACACCACTGGGCGCGCTTTCGGTATTGGTAGCAGCGGTACTGGGCTCTTATTTCCTCAATGAAGTACTGGGAAGGCTCGGTAAGCTGGGCAGTGCGCTCTGTCTTTTAGGCGCCGTTATCATCATGCTCCACGCGCCACCCGACGAGGATATCCAGACCGTTGACAAAATCCTGGAATACGCGCTCCGCCCAGGTATGGCCATATCGATATGAACTGCTTGTGTAGCCTATGGGCGAGCCATGCTAACCCCATTACCCCCTAGCATTTCTCATATATGCCCTTTCTGTCAGCGTATTTACGTTCGTTATGATATATAAGGTCGTACCGTTATACAGCAAGAAGAACCCCTTAGTCTACGTCTCGATTTGCTCGCTCGTCGGCTCCGTTTCTATCATGGCCATTAAAGCATTCGGGATTGCGTTAAAGCTTACCTTCGGGGGCAATAACCAGTTCTCACACCCGTCCACCTACGTCTTCATGACTATAACTATCGTCTGTATTCTCGTGCAATTGAACTACTTGAATAAGGCGCTCAGCCAATTCCCAACGAACATGTGCGTTTTATATCCTTTCCTTCGTAGTATTTGTTTCCAATAACGAGAAAAGGACCCCCCCTCCCCTTCGCTGCCTGCTCTAGATGTTCCTACAAGGCTAATCAATGGGACAGTGTCAATCCTCTTTATTACGTGACCTTCACAACGGGTACCATCTGCGCATCTTTCATCTTCTATGGCGGCTTCAATACTACCGATGCAGTGACCACGTTGTCACTACTATGTGGCTTTCTCATAACCTTTGCGGGTGTTTATCTTCTCAACCTTAGCCGAGATGACCCGGATGGCGCCAAATTAGCCACAAGTAACCACCGTAGCTATGCCTTGCAGAGAGACTTTAGCATGGAGGATATGCGGCAGTCTCTCAGTGACGGTTGCCGGCCAAGCTTAGGAAGTGCCAGGGGTGGCGACCGTCAAGGCCTTATTCGTGCTTACAACGAGGATGCTGCTTGGTTCGAACTCGACAACCTCGGGGAGGGACATGGTAATGGCATTGTAACGGAAACAGCGGCAAGGGGCATCGGGCCAATGAAGCCGAGCGAGCGATGACCGTCATAGTAGTTCTCGAACTCCGGTTAGGAATGTTAGTCCCACGCCGTGCAGGGAGGACTCAGCGATCGTAGCGGACAACCAGTTCGACCATGACGCCATACAAGCGAACCGAGCGGTGATGGTGGAGTTCATGATGACAAGCAATGTCAGCGCTGTGCCCTGAGAAACTTCATGGACAGGACCGCGGCCTGCTGCTCCAACTTGGGGGACTGTTCGCCGCTGCGACCGCTACTTTGCCCGAAGACAAGCGCCAGAGCACAGGAGGCAGCTACCAGTCAGCGCCCCTCGAAGCAAGCCTTAAGCCGGGCTACGATGATAGTGCCAACCCAAGCAGTGCAGAATGGGCGACACCGATTTTGCAAGGGACAGTATAGAAAGCCTGAAACGAGCCTATCCTTAATTATTGTAAGCCAGAAAACAATGTCATGATGCAGTAAGGAAGATCCTTGTTTTACGAGGACATAGCCAAGTGCTCACTCACTAACCCAAAGATTAGGCAGAGATTAGGCATACTATTAAGAGGCCCACCGCTTACAAACACTGTATCTAAATAAGACTGACTTACTGTGAGACAGCCAAATATAGCTCCATGGGAAAAATGAAAAGATGAAAGTGGAAAAATGAAAAATATATGACAAGAAGGGGATTCGAACCCCTGCGGATTGCTCCAGTGGCATTCTTCACTATTTACTAGCGCAAGTATTTGACTTGAGACCACCGCCATAACCACTCGGCCATCTTGCCCTTCAGACCACGCTTGATCACGTGCTGCCGATATCAGATGCCTACCAAACTGTAACTATGACGGCACACTGATAGATAACGAGCCAGAAACTGAAGAGTTCATCGAGAGCGGCATCAGGAATCAGCTGAACTACTAGCCCAGTGTCTCATCCCGATAGCCCCTAAGACGACGTGCTATCTGTAGTGCATCGCCGGTATGGAGCTATTCTGCTATGGCTGCGGTAGTATTCCGACATAATCACAGCTTCAACAACAGCCCTCGGCAAGACTTGGCCCGTAGCCCTCCCCAAGAGTTTCCGCCTTGCTTGTTTCCTCATCCACCTAGCATTAGCGATGAATCAGAATGGTGTCCTGTTGCAGCATGTCCAAGCTTACCAGGTACTGTTCCATCATAAATGAGCTACGGAGCATCACTTTTATCTGAGACAGACCCACTGGACGACCCAAGTATCATTGGTGGATCTTTTGTCGGGCTTGACGTCCGCTGCCGTTTCCAGCAATGGGGAGAGACCAATACTACGGAGGGCAAGTCAAATACTCTAAAGTAGATAGTCAGCAGTTACTAGGTAACTCACTACCAATATTGTTACCTCGCATCTTTTGTAGGACCTTTGTAGCTTGATGTGTAAGTGATCATTGGGGGAAATATCTGTACCAGAGATTACCTAGGTAGTCCTTCGTATTAGGTAACTATCCCGCGAGGAAGACCCTGCGATTTGAACAGCAGGGCCTATGCGTACTCAATCATTAAATTCCATTGGCGGATTTTCTACTCAGGCCCAACACGGCAACTGCGGCGAATGGGTCTACTTTACTATACAGAACACATGACGTCGGAAGACAAGAGGAAAGGGGGTCTTTAATAGGATATGAGTTTGTTATATAAAGAGGCTGAGATACCAAGCAATGGCTAATGCACGCCGAGGAAGCTTGTTTTTTCTTCTCAAGCCAATCATCAGGATTCCATTCTTCTCCCTTGCAAGTCGTTGACAAGATGGTCTCTACGTCTTCTACACTCCTCCTCGTTGCCTTCGCGGCTGGTGTGCTTTCGAGCCCTGTTGCCAACCCGGTCGCTGCACCTGCGGTTACTCCTGGGCCTTCCCTAGACCACGCTCTGCAGAAGCGAGCAAGCTGCACGTTCTCTGGGTCTGCGGGCGCTTCGTCGGCCAGCAAGTCCCAGGCATCATGTGCCACTATCGTCCTGTCTAACGTCGCTGTGCCATCCGGCACCACCTTGGACTTATCTAAGCTCGCAGATGGTACTCATGTGAGTCGAGTCTGCCATTCCAAATGTGACCAGGTCAACACCAGCAACTGAAGTCTAACAGCGTCAACTCGCCTCTAGGTCATTTTCGAGGGGACAACAACCTGGGGCTACGAGGAATGGGCCGGACCGCTGCTTCAGATCGAGGGAAATGATATCACCATCGAGGGAGCAAGTGGTTCCGTGCTCAACCCCGACGGTGCCCGGTGGTGGGATGGCGAAGGTAGTAACGGCGGCAAGACGAAGCCTAAATTCTTCGCTGCTCACTCCCTGACTGGCTCCTCCTCTATCACCAACCTGAACATCAAGAACACGCCCGTGCAGGCCGTCAGTGTCAATGGTTGTGAAGGTTTGACTATCACGGACATGACTATTGATAACTCTGCTGGTGATTCGGCTGGTGGGCATAACACGGACGGCTTCAATATTGGGTCCAGCTCTAGCGTGACCATCACTGGAGCCAAGGTCTATAACCAGGATGACTGCGTTGCTGTCAACTCCGGAACGGTATGTGGATCACGGCTCGAGGGGAACATCTAGATATTTATTAACATGGGCCTAGGACATCACCTTTTCCGGAGGTCTCTGCTCTGGTGGCCACGGCTTGTCTATCGGCTCAGTTGGAGGCCGTTCTGACAACACTGTCGAGAACGTCACTTTCGAGAGTTCCACTGTGACTAAGTCCGTGAACGGTATGACTGGCTCTCCTTCGTCATCAATGCCATTTTCCATGCATGCAACAGCGGATATTAGAAATGAATACTAAATCTTTAAACTACAGGCATTCGCATCAAAGCTACGGCAGGTGACACTGGCACCATCAAGGGCGTCACATACTCCGGTATCACTCTATCAGACATCACGGGGTAAGTAATGGTTCTTGTCTCCATACCTTAGGTCAATGACTACCAAAAGACAATCCTGCTTTTTCCTATCTAAACTAACCGTCACATTGCCCATAGATATGGCATCTTGATCGAGCAAAATTACAGTGGAGGTGACCTACACGGAGACCCGACAAGTGATATCCCCATAACCGACCTCACAGTCGAGAACATTACCGGCACCGGTGGTGTAGAGAGTGGTGCCTACAACGTCGTTATCGTCTGTGATAGCGGTGCTTGCTCCGACTGGACTTGGTCCAGCGTCAAGGTCACTGGTGGCAAGGATTACACCTCCTGCCAGAACATTCCTAGTGTTGCATCTTGCAACGTCTAAGCAAACAATGCGAGTATCGCTAGGTTGTATATATGAGGCAACACTGTCGTGGTGTTTAAACAAGGCCTCTAGTTGCGAGCAAGGCAGCACATGTATATAGATGTACATAGAGTCAACACATGCTGTTCTTCAGTCGATGTTATATGCAATCATGAAACAATAGCCTGTCCGTTATCTCATTATCCAAATCCTGGGAGCACTAATTGGAGCCTATCCAAGCATAACCTGCACCCCATCGAAAGGAGAAACCACGATCGAAAAGCGTTATTTTTCTCTTCCAACAGGCCCGTTCGGTATACCATCCAGTACCTTTTGGCCAATTTACTGCCATGGGAAAGAAAGATGGTGGAACTATAAAACGAAGACACCAACATACTTAGTGCGCTATAGGAGCACCTTGAACAAGATCGCGTACTGGCCGTTGCTGCTGAAGCCGAAACCGAGAGAGGATGGAAGAGAGTGGGCAAACGATAGTTGACCTTGAGATTCTATTGCAAAGAGTTCCGCGGGACGACGGATCGCTACGTTTACTAGCTATAGTTACTTGAAAACCTAGCTAGCTTCTAGAAATTCTATGAAGTAACAAGATATTATAGTAGCACTTGCGTGCTTTTTAGGACATAAAGCACCTGCTGTACTAACTATAGACTCTTTAGTTCTAACTTTAAAAAAATCAGAAAGAAGTTAAAAATAAAGTTATTTTTGCTGCTATTATAGCAGAATTAAGCGCGAGTAGCTCATATAACATTTAATACTTTAAATTTACACACTTATATTACTACTTCCCTTTTTTTACTACAAACTGTTGTTAACAGTAGCTTGCGGCTACACCTGATAATGCCGCCCGACGTACTAGCATATAAACCCCGAAACATACACGGCACGGACAAACCGTACAAGAAGCAGACCGAAAAAAGCTCACATTATTAAATATAAAGCATAACGTTTTAAAAGAAGTAAACGTAAGCTATATATACAGCTAGCCCTTAAAGCTTGAAGTAGTGTATGCTTATATATAAGAATATAGGTAGCATACTCTCATAATGTTAAAAACTATCAATAAATCAATCAATCCAGTAGGCGAATGTTGGGGAAAGCTTGCAATAATCAGATCACTGCGTAACTCGCTTACATTAAGGTGAAGGCTTCTGATCATGTCAAATCAGCATTGCATCTCAAGATCATATGGTCTCGTCATCGATCAGCGACTTTACCCTATCCTAAGTGCCACTGGTGATGTCCAAATGAATAAAACTTAAGGGACTCTATGAGACGAAAGTAGATACTTACTCCCTAAGCAAACTCTTGGTCCAGCATTGAAATCCTGGAATGTGATTCCGGCAACCCTCTCCTTCTTTTCCACTTCGACTTGCTCCCAGTTTTACGGCTGGAAGATCTTTGCGCCAGGGCCATAGAGCGATTCCCGCCGATGTAAATTATATACAGACCAGCCTACGCCAGCCCCTTCCGGTACGACTACGGGAGATGCTCCGTCAACGTCACCGCCTCGTGGGAGCACTGTGGCGCGTCATGCGAACCAGATATTTAGGGCCAGTTGAGGGTAGAGTCGCAGGGCTAGAGTTGGGATCAATAGTTGTTGTAAGGGGGTGGTCGTCAACGAAGCTATCAGATCAATACCCGCTCTCATTGATACAACACCGTAGAAACAATAGTTTCCGAATGTGCTCGCGCGCCATGGGCCCGTCAGTCGCTACCCTGAAATATCATCCCTCAACCTTTGGATCATCTCCGGGTTCCGAACCAGATGAAAGCTAGTTCCGCGACAGAATGTACCCGATCATTATCCCAGCTCTTGTGGGCAAAATCACCCTCCGAGCAGCGGTAGAATATCACACTCACAATAGTCAGCTAAGCAACGCAGCAGTTGAGTCCCGTCCCGCAATCAAGACGTGCAGCAACTGACCTCGCACCAGCGCCTCATCAAGGATACTCCTCTAGAGATCAGTGATAAAAGGATGCTTCTCGGCAGCAAGTTCCTCTCCCTTCTCTTCCCTGTATCTCAGCGCCCTTTCGCAAAGGAATCAGCCCGATCCCTCACCACGCCACATGCCTTCTTGAATTTCAGGGGGTTATACAGCGGAGCCAGATCCGCGAGGCGAATGCGAATCCCAACACCAAGCGCCGCGCCCTTGATCATGCCAACAAAAATCACCCCTAGTAATCCCTATCCGCTTGCGGGGGCCACCTCAAGGCAACAGTCAGCCGCTACTAACGGCAAGCTAGAGAACACGTCCCTGTTCAACGGAACTGGGCATCCCGCGCCGGCTATGCCTATTGGACTCGTGGTAGCAAAGGAGGATTCGCAGATTAAGCTTCTTGCAAGTCTATAGATCGTGGGTAGGTATTGGGCCGAGGCCAAGATTCTGCAAGCTGCATTAGCTTGGGAGAGTTCCCAAGACTGGAGAGAGTTATGGAATCAGAGAGCTGCGTCTGGGAAAGAGCGAAGGTACTTAGATCAGGTAATAGAAAGTTGGAAAGCCAGTTGATGTAAACTAAA